TTATTTGGTTTAGAAAGCAAAGTCTCTGTAAAAGGACATATAATGAAGCTACAGCCTCAATTATACATGGAGAGGCAATTCTGTGTGTTGGGAATACAAGTCCTGAGTTGAAATTATGATTGCCATGTGCAATGCACTCCATTTACAGTTTTTTTTTTCTTTTTGCTCTGGTTCCATTTTTATAGACTGTCATATACTATATATGAACTCATTTTTACACTAAATTCTTTGGCAAACTCACCTCAGTATTTAAGGAATTGCCTGTCTATTTGAGAACTTGGCTTAAAACAACAAAGGGGCAAATGGTAGAAAGATGGCAAAAATCTGCTTTTAGATTAACAGCCAATGAGCAGAAAATAGACATTTACACACACGTTAGTCTGAGTTTCTAAAATAAGTTATGCTTAATTATAAACTATGTAAATCTTTAATTTGCATTAAACCATAGGTTTTGTTGGGCTTTCATGTCTTCGAGGCAAGGCGGGTTCTGTGTGTATCCAATGCTGGGGAAAGTTGTCACCCTAGGACTGTTTCATCATTTAGAAACCTTCACAGTGACATTACCTAAGACTTTTAAGGCATCCTTGATTATTTTGTCCCTTTTCTTGAATTTGACTTTTTCAAATGACATGATTTTAGTTCCAATGGTTTGTTAAACTGGTTTAAATTTTCTTGGAGTTCCTTAGATTACAATAGTGCATATGGGTGCTTGCATGATAGCTACATTTCTTAACCAGAATGCTAGTTTTCATGATGACACAATGTAATCAGTAAGAATATAACTTAATACGTGTAAAACTCTACTGATGATTCACCTGAATCTCTGCAGACATGCTTCTCTCATAGCCTTCTTCATCTCAGCTGATGGCAGCAGTTCATTCTCTCCAATCTTGCATTTAATTTGTACCAATCTCCTATTGTCTCTACTTTCAAAACATACCCTAGAATCTGAACATTATCATCTGTCCAACACCAGTACTCTGGCCAGGCCATCATGACCTTCTGCCTGGATTATAACACAAACTCCTGTCAGGTCTCCCAGATTCCACCCATTTCCTGAGAAGCTATCTGCAGCCCAGCACTCTGTATTTTCCAAAGCATAAATCACACTATGTCACTAGAAAGCCTTCTTACAAAGTAAATGAGTATGAGATATTTCTAGCTATATATTATGATCCTTGCAGGCTTAGCTCAGTAAGGAAAAATTTAGATACTTATCAATATATAGATTATCGTGCAAGAAACATGCTCTGTGTTGAAAGGCACTGAATGAAGAGGCAGACTAATCTAAATTCAAATTCAATTTCCACCATCAGTTGATATAAATAAAAAAATCAGGTTAATATCTCTAAGTCTCAATTTTCTGATATATAACATATGATCAAAATGACAACATACCATTATATATCTCTGTGATAATGTGTAAGACTGATATATCAAACTGTAATCAGAAAGCACTTAAAATGTTTGTAGCAGGGCATTTCATCATGGAAACTGGTTGCAGAGGTAATGTGGATTTGGGGAACCACGCAAGGAGTGATGGGGTAATCCAGAGATTATCAATAGTAGAAAGCTATTATTACTCTTAGATTGGAGGGATAAAGAGTGATAATATTAGATATCAGAGATCATCCTTTCAATACTTGAGCCACCATAGACCTGTCAGATGCAAGCTGGAACCCCAGAGAAGCTACATTTGAAAACTGCTCAGCAAAGATGAAGGTGACAATGCCTTGGCTTATCTCTTCTTACTGCCTTCCAAAAGGCACCCTCACCAGTGTCTCCATTGTCGAAGGCAGCCAGAGCCAGCTGGCTATGGATCATGAAAAATATAATCCGAAGAGGTGAACTCCTCTCATAAGAGTGGAGCAGGGGAATAGAGAACAGATTAAGAACAATCAAGTCCAACACTAGGACAATCTATCACCAAAGATCTTAAAATTGGCTGTGTAGTACGGAGGATGATTAAGTGTTCATGCAAAGAAGCAATTTAATATTCCCATGGCACAGATAAAATTATCTAAAGGGTAAAGGAAAGGAAAGTTGTTGTTATGGGATGGGGTTGATAGATGTCAAAAATAACATTGACTGAATTGCCAAGGTAAATAATTCTAGCAGAATACTGATATTGGTTTATGCTTTTTATTACTTGTACACCTCATATGTATAATAAACATTCTTGATGAGAAAAAGATTACATGCAACTGTCAACCAAGAGAGTATACTAGTAATTAAATTTTGAAAAAAAATACAGTAGTATTTGAGGTTGTTTATTGATTTACAAATGTAAAGCAGTCATTGAGACATCTGAGTTATCTAAATGTGAAAAAATGACTTCTAAATAATCTAAGTCCAGATGCTCACGAAAAAGAGCAAAGCTGCTCATTGAGGTGGACGCACAGTCACCATCAATTATAATGGGTTTCATTCATAATCAGTGGGAAAACAACTCCCTTAGGAACTTAAATTCATTATCTATTGTGTTGAATGATGTATATTTTTAAATGTTTATGATAATAACCTTAGAATGTAAAAGCATGTCTTGGAAATATATTGTTGTTAATGTCTTCTTGCATCGTGGTAATGTTGCATTTCCATTAAAGAAGCTGAAAATTCAAGTACTACATTTGAAACACCTGAAATATCTAGTTTGGACATAAGCTCAGCCTTGTAATATTACAAGGACTTAGCTTTGCAGTTACTCCAGGTCAAAGAGATTAGCAAAGCAGTTTTTTCTTACCATGTTAACATGAAATCAAGAGTCAACCAGGTAGCACTAGCTAATTCTGAAGAAAAAAATTGCTATCACATAGAAACTCAGCTTCAGTAAATTAAGAACTAAATGTATGTCTGCCAAAAAGTTTTGCCGTGATCAATTTTTTCAAACTGTGATTAAACAAGATCAGGTAAATCACAAATATTTTAAATTGCTTTGGTTAACTCCACAGGTACGCCCTGTTATTGTAAACAGCAGCATAAGTTATAAAGTTTACAGAAGGAAAAGCATGAAGCTAATGCTCTAGGTTAGAAATTAGTTTAAGAATAAAGAAGAAAAATATGTGTTTGATTAATGCCAAATCAAATCTCTGGCAGTAAGATGGAAGATTTTATTATTCAAGATGAAGCTTTTTAAAAATAAGACTTTACAAACTGTAAGATCCTGGTCAAATTTTATTTTGCTGACTTGAGGTTAAATTTCTTTGAACTTTCAATAGGTGTCTCTTGTACTATGTTTGTATTATAAAATAGTAATGATAATATGGTTGTGTTTCCTCTTACAATATTTGATTTGAAAGTCCCATGTTTTTGTCAAACAGCTTGTAAATGAACTTTGCAATCTTGGAAGTAGAAAGCAATTATAAATGGGAACAACTATCCTTGCTCAAATATTTTCTGTGAAATGCCAACATTAGTCTCTTTCAGAATTACATAGAAATATTGACAAGCATACAACTATTTGAAGCTGTAAGCCACTATCATTGGTGAACTATCCCTTATTTTTGTTTCTGGAAAATTGTAAAAATTACATTTGGATTTCTCAGTACACTTAGTAGTGCCTGAATGAGAACATATTCTGTGAAGGCTGAGGAAACTTCTAAAACGCCGATCATACTTTAGGTAAATTTTATCACACAAAACAATATTCCTTTCTGTTCCCTCTAGAATATGTAATGTGGAGTAAAATCACTTATTACTAAGTGCCACTAATTATATTTCACCATAACTATATTATTTTAAATTATTGTATCTCTTAGATTTAAATGATCTCTAATATGTTTAAAGTTAATATTTGATGAAAGCTTGTTAATATTTAAATAGTTTGCCTAATGTGATAGTTTCTACTGAAAATTGGAATGTATCATGTGATCATCTTGAACTGAATAAAAGGAAAATCCCAAATGATCTTTCTATTGGTCAATTATGCTTAACTATTTTGAGGACTTTACATTTTTCAGAAGTTTACAGGTAAGATTGATATGAATTGGAATGAGTCTATAATTTTCAAGTGTTCATTTTGAATATTATTTTTATTGTATTTTGGTTAGTTTCTAGAGATTTTGACATTTATTATAGCCTGTATTTTTCATGGTAGAAAACTTATAATTTTACCAATAAAATACAAAAGATTAACAGAATGTATATTTTGATTTATCTAGATTCCGTTTATTTAATTAAATTGGTAACTTTATTATTGACTCATTGGAATCGTTCATTATTTAGGGGGTAATTATTATTTTAACAGTAAAATACAAGAGAAATTTAAATTGTTTTGTGTTGAAAATGTACAACAGTGTGATTCAGAGCATTTAAGGAGTCCTAACAGAGAATGTCAACTATAGTGCTAGGAGTATGGTTCAAAGAAATGACCTTAACATCATAAAGAATGAATGTGGTTGGACTCTGGCTTGTTTACATTGATATTCTTTCAAATCATGCTTCATAATTTGTTATTAAACATAAGCCAGGCATGGAAAGACAAATTTTGCATGTTCTCACTTATTTGCGGGAGCTAAAAATTAAAAAAAAACAGAGAGAGTTGAGTGATGGTAGGGTCAGTTGGAGGAGAGTGGGGATGGTTAATGGCTACAGAAATACAGATTGATGGAACAAGTAAGATCTAGTATTTGATAGCACAATAAGATGACTACAGTCAAGAATGATTTGTTGCACAGTTTTAAAAAACTGAAATAATATAATTGGATTGTTTGTAACACAAAGGATAAAAGCTTGAGATAATGAATACCCATTTACACTGATGTGATTATTATGCATTATATGCCTGTATCAAAATAGCTCATGTACCCCATAAACATATACAACTACTGTGTACCCATAAAAATTTAAAAAAATAAAATTTTAAAAAGTTGACTTGTATGTGTGTGTCAAATGGCAAAACTTCCTAGATTCATCCCTTACCCCGAACAAGGCTGAGGAGGAAACAGAGGATGCCAGATGCCTTTTCTTTTCTTTTCTTTTCTTTTTTTTTTTTCTCTTTTCTCTTTTTTTTTTTTTTTGAAGTGTAGTATGTCGTCACTTAACATGGTCGAGAGCTTCTTGGAAACTGTGACCTTAAATGAAACAACGTGTAACAAAACCAGTTTTACCCTAGGTGAATTAATAAAACAAGAATTAAGTTCCCATGACATATTTCTCATCACAAATACATCACCAAATTTCCAGATAAAGATGAAAACATTTCTACTAATAAACATTGAAATTAAAGTGAACTATATTACTTTTAAGAAAGATTAATAAAATAAGTAAGATGATTATTTACCCACTTATTCCAGTTCAGGGCTGTGGGTGACCGCAGCCTATCCAGTGGCCAAGGCAGGAGCCAGCAGTGAACGGGACGCCATCCCATCTCAGCTCTGGCTCACACCCGCACCCTCACTGAGACTGGGACCACTCAGAAACGCCAGTTAACATGCACAGCTTTGGGATGTGGGAGGAAACCAGAGAACCCGCAGAAAACCCACGCAGACATGGGAACAATGTGCGAACTCTACATAAAGTGGCCTGGACTGGGAACCAGTTTTCCTTCTGATTAGTGTTATAAAGAAACGGCGTGTCATGAAATAGTACTTGAGGACCTGCTGTACTTAATGTTTTCTGAATAAAAAAGATCATCTAGAGGGCTTCCTTGTCTCTTTGTAACTAGTTAGATCACAAAAAAATGAGAGTAAACACTTCTCCGACTTTCACAGTCTGTCCGTTTTCTAACCCCTTCCTAGAACTGGGGTTCTTTTTATACAAAAAGTAGTTACGCATCAGTAATACATTCATATTTTCTATTTCTCAAGAACTTTCACTCAAAAATCCATATCACTATCTTAAATATACATGAAGAGTTTGACAAAAAAGCCTGCTATTTTGAATGGCAATTTTCAAAGTTTTTTTGTACATTATTCCATTTGTTACTCAAATTTATAGAAGTCCTCATGAATATAGATTAGAAAAGATGTCCTTTACAGAGAAAGAAATTGAAAACTCAGAGAAAAATGGTTTTCCAAAATAAATGAAGTGCAGTGCTCTTTGAAATCTGTGTTGTTTTGATTTTGGATTGAAGACACTGCAGCAGATACTTTACTATGCCAGAAATCCCAGTGAAACTGATTCTCCACGCCAATAATGGAGATTCCCTCTCCACAGAATATTTTTGTCACCTATGGAAACATTAACTTTTCTCTGGAATTCCGCAATTGGAAATAATCTCTCCTTTTCCCCTTGGACTCTTTCATCATGGAGAGTTTTGTCTTCTTTCCATAATGAATGTCTTCATTATTCACGTTTCTGTTTCCTCTAGACTGCAAAGTCAGGAACCAGGATTTTTATTTTTTTGTTTTCCACAAGAAAGTATTTTTCACATGGTAGTGCTTTATATATATTTGTTTATTTAATAAAATATATCATTATGATTTTGATAATCTGTAAGAAAGGAAATTAATGTGAAACTGTGGATAAAACAAACATAGCACATCATTAAGGAACTCTCAGAAGTTTAATAATCAATGCTTACATAATTTCTCTAACAAGGTAGGCAAATAAATCTAGTATCTAAACTGAAGAAAGTTTGTGGGAATTTAAGTAAAATAGTTATAATAAGAACCAATGAAAGTGTCCTTATTTAAAAGGCCAGATGGAAAATTTACATTTAACTTGTGTGGCGGATGATGTGAGGTGGGGAATTATGCGGAAGTTGAGCAACTTTATTTGGATCCTGTAAACTACTGAGAATAGAAATATTCCTGTGATGTGTTCATTTTATAAAAAAATTGAAATGAGTAGAAAATGACTACATAAGGTGCTGAGAGCTCTTAGGGCAGAGTTGCATGAAAGAACTAGTGTAGAATCCTCCGAATTTAGGTACTTTTGATGATGAAAGTTTGGAGTAAAGTAACATGTTGTTACACTTATGCATTGTGAGTCATTTTTAAAAATGTAGTACCTTGAGAGTAGAAATACTAAATTTCTTGACTCATAAAATAAAAGCAGGCAATCTTCTATCCTTGAGGATATTGCTGTCTATAGCAAGAAGACAAAGGGGCTGATACCACCGCTGTTGTCACAGTCATATATATTCCTAAGATTTCTTAATTGTAACCTTATGGTTTATACAAATTACATATGTGAAAATGTTTCTGAATGGTTCACTTTCCCCCTAGATGACTGCATGATGATTGAGTTACAACATTTATGTAGCAATCTTGTCTCATTTAAATCAAGTAAATCAGAAAAATCATTTAAGTTTTAAACAAACTCAAACATATCCAAAAACTGTAAAATAATTTACAGTTTAGCACCATAGATATTCCACAGTGCTAATTCAGAAGGTTTTCTATTCTGTCAAATAGATTCCTTTGTTCTCATGGCTCTGAGTGGTTTCTACATTTGTTTAGGAAATTTTCAATGAAATCTGGAGATTTAAAAATACTTACTGTGGTGTGGTTAGAAAACATCTTTTCTTTTTACAGAAACTTTACGATATGTGGTAGTTCAAGGATGTTATTTTTTACTATTCATTTGATGTCACAAAGATCAACACATTCAATAGTATTCATGTATTTATTTAAACCAGAGAGACTGGAATCCTCTAGGCTCATTTTTGTTCATGTGTATGTCTCTCTCTGTCTCTCTCTCTGAAGTTCAGAGGTTTTTAATTCACCTCATTATTCATATAACATTATTATAATAATTCCTAAATATTCAGAAAAAGAGTATTTATAACATTAAGAGGCATTTAGTCATAAGCAGATGCATTTTAGCTAACTTGATTCATGTGTTGAGAATCCTTACAGAAGGCCCACATGTGATTCATATCTGAAGGCTTTCCTAAGTATCTCACAGAGATGGACATAAAGATTACCAATTATATCAAACAAGTGTTTACTATTTTAAACATTACAGTTGACATACTATTAAAAAAGCATGGGAGAACAAAAGCATTTAAAAATTTGTTAAGTGTTTTATAACTATTCAGTATTAACTCAGATCTTTTTCTTAATGTTTTGATACAGATGCATGTCTGTCATTTCAAAAGATGTTTAATCTGTTTTTTATTTATGCATAATTTAAGTTAAATGATTTGAATTAGTTTCCAATCACTAGCATTGGACAAATATAATATATGTGGACTTAAATATATATTAGTAATACATAGTGGCTTGTTTCATATATAATTATGATTTAAAATGTTTCATATGGCTCCCTTTTTAGATTATTTATTAATAGGCAAAGTGATGAGCATGAAAAGCAAATTTACACAAAGCATTGAAAAAATCATATACTTTAGAATTTTGAACTGCTTTAGATGTTTAGTAGTATCCAAAATATAGTGCAGAGATGTTTTTTAACACACAGACTGCTACACCAATACCAATCTTTGCTTGAGTATTACCAAATGAACCAAACGACAGAGAGCTTATTACCACATAAGACATTCTACCCCATTATGGCATAGCTCTAATCTCAGAAAGATATTATTTATGTTAAAATGAAATTGCAAAGATACTTTTATGCGAGTCTGTTGGGATATAAAAATTATAATTGTGTTACTTCTTGATATTATTACTCTTATTGCCAGGCACCAGGTCAAAGAATCACAAAACATGCTGCAAAGGGTATGGGTTTTTGACAGTTCTGTGATTTCTTTACTGCAGGACCTAACACTATATTGTGCATATGAAATATCTAAAAGAAGAAAATGACATACAGCATTTATTAGACTTTATATAACTAAAGTCACTTCTAGTAGATCTTCCCCAAAATAGCAGTTTGTGAATTGCTGAGGAAGAGAGTTGCTCAGTCTCTGGAGCTCCTTGTTATGGCCCTCTTGCTCCCCTGAGATTGGAGATGTATTAGCTAGGGTGGATGGCTGTGTAGGTTATCAGATAGCCTCAGTTCCCATTGGCAAATGTCCATGCTAGTTGACTGTATTAATAAGGAATTTTCCACGCTTCATTGATTCATAAGTATATTGAATATTTCTGTAAATACCTTTCATTTCTTAACCTAAATATGCAAGAGAGAATTATGGAAGGAGTATAAAACAGATATTTGGGAAAAGAGGAGACTGCTAACAGCTCTCTCTTTTTCTTACCGTATTCAGAGACAAAGTAGTCATCTCTGTTTATTTTAATAAGGAACGAGCATGTTCTGTTTAGAAAAGGTTTTATTGGTGGGAACAGTTGTTGAATCAAGACAAACATGTTATAATATATGAGAATAATGCTACACATTTTCTCCCTTTTTTTCCCTTAAATGTTATGTGGAATTTTCAGGAAGAAAATTTAAAGTTAATTTAATAAGTTTTACTCCATGTACTATGATTCTTTATTTTATTTAAAGTGTTTACTTGCTAAAAGTAATGCCTTGACAAATTTTATGATAAAAAGCTTATTTCATTTTAAAATAGAAACAATACTATCAAGATTATTATTCATCATAGCAGATAAAATGAACTGACCCTGAAAAGGCTTATTTTGTGAATGTGCATCCGTAATTATTTGGTTTAAAAAGTTCATTGAAGTAAGTAAAGTGGAGAGTTAATAGCTCCCATTTGTAGATAGGTGACATAACTTATTGTAATGCTCAATTATCTCTGGTCCATGGATTGTTCTATTATGCAAACACTCATCTGCCCAAATAAATACTCATTAAGGTGAACGTCTATGCCAAAAATACAAATTTTCTGTATTTTTACTTTTATTTTCATAGTAAGCTCTGGAGAAATGAACAAAAAGCACTAACAAAAATCTTGGAGTTTAGGTACAATTTGAAAAATTAGGTGTCCATTAAAGAGCAGTAAAGTAGTTTGTTTAGAAAAATGTTTAAAATTATTTTGTTAGATACATTTCCTGATTGGAGAATAATAAATGAACCTTACATTAACCCCAAATCCAATTTTTTTTTTTTTTTTAGAGTAGGAATGGTCAAGGGTGAAAGAAATAAGAATATCACTCAAGTCATAAGTTAGAATAATAAATAGCACACATGCCCACACTATAAGTTCTTCAAACTGAGTGAAAAAAGGAGAGTTCATGCATCTCATTCAAACTTCAAAGCTAGTTTCTCCTTTTTATGTTTAAACCAAAGCTTTCAAGAATGGAGGCCAGGTTTCCTTTACAATTTAAAATTCAAAGAGCACCACTTTGAAATTTAATAGAGCAGTGTTTGCTAAAGTAAACATTTTAGTCACAGTGAAGGCAGATGCCTCTGTGCATCCTCAGCCTTTCTGTAGGTATTAAAGCAGTGCTTCAAACTACTGCAATGTCTCTTCCCCAATAGCCATTCAAAAAAGATATAGATTTCACGGAATGCAGAATTTCACTTCCCCAAACAAAATGTACCTTTATCGTTAAAGCAATTTTGCAAC